GGGGCCCCTCACCCGCACGTTGTGGTCCGAGGGCTCGCGCCCCCCCAGGTACTCCTGGTGGAAGCAGCGAGCGGGGGATTCGGGGGCCGGGTCGGGGGATTCGGGGGGGCTCGAGGGGATTCGGGGGCCGGGTCGGGGGATTCGGGGGGCTCAGGGAAGTATCAGGGGCCCCTCACCCGCACGTTGTGGTCCGAGGGCTCGCGCCCCCCCAGGTACTCCTGGTGGAAGAAGCGGCGCAGCTGGGGCTGGACGCGCTGCAGCGGCTGGAACTGCCCGTGGAGCAGCATCACCACGTCCACCATGGAGAAGTTCTGGCAGATCAGCGAGAGCAGGTCCCCGAAGAAGCCTAGGAACAGACGGGGACCGTGGGGCACCGGGACACCCCGGGGGGCGCTGGGGGGCCGGGGCAGGGAATCCCGGCCGGGGGGGCCCAGCCAGGACGGGGTGAGGGAAGCCAAGAGTAATGTGGCCTGGCAGGGTGCTGGGGGATGGGCCAGAGGGGCGGGGCCCAGCAGCCCAGAGGGGGAACAGTTGAGGACACTGCCCGGAAGGGGCGGGGCCCAGCAGAGGAGTGGGGCGGGGCCGCCCAGAGGGTGGGGGGGGCGGCTCAGCACAGGAGGAGGGGTGGGGCCGCCCAGAAGGGGTGGGGCCCGGCAGCAAAGGCAGGGCATGGCCATGCGGAAGGGGCAGGGCCCAGCAGCGGAGGCGGGGCTGCCCGGACGAGGAGGCGGGGCCCGGCAGAGGAGGGGGGGCCCGGCAGAGGGGGCGGGGCGGGGCCCGGCAGAGGGGGCGGGGCGGGGCCCGGCAGAGGGGGCGGGGCGGGGCCCGGCAGAGGGGGCGGGGCTCACCGATGGCGCCCTCGGTGCCCGGCTCGAAGAGGTTGCTGGTGCCGCTCAGGCGCTGGATGAAGGTGGCGATGCTCTCGGTGCTGCCCTGCTGGGCGTTCAGCGAGCCCATCATGGACGACAGCACCCCCTGCACCACGCTGAGGAAGAACTCGGGGGCCAGGGCCTCGGGGCCCCCAGGGGGGCGGCCCCGCCCCCGCTCCCCGCCCGACACCAGGGGTGGGGCAGGGGCTGGAGGGGCCTCTGGCTGCGGGGGAGGGGCAGGGGCAGGAGCCTGAGCCTGTTCTGGCACCTGTGGGGGGACAGCCCCCATCTGCGTGGCCTGGAGAAGAGGAAGACAGTAGTCAAGGACGGCTCTGGCGGGCTGTCAGGTCAAGGACGTGGGGGGAAAACTGGCCTTACCCAGAATGCCACGGGGTGGGCAGTGCTCACCTGCAGGAAGTCTGTCATGCCTTGCAGGAAGGCGGGCATGCCAGGCATGCCGGGCATGGCCACGGTGATGGTGGGGGAGCCCACGCCGGCCATGCCAGGGCCCGCTGCCCCCAGCAGGTTGCCCAGGAGCTGGGAGAAGTGGAGATCGTCGGCAGGTGGAGGCGGCTGGGCCGAGGAGGAGGCGGAGGGCACGGGGCCCCCTGGTGCACCGGCAGAGCTGCCCCCTGCCGCCGTGGTGGCCGTGTTGGTGGTGGCGGCGCTAGCCGAGGCCGTGGGCGGGGAGGCTGGGGCCGGGAAGGAGGCCGATGAGGTAGTGGTGGTGGTGGAGGAGGAGGAGGAGGAAGAGGACGCCGAAGAGGAGCTACTGCCCTGAGCTGGGAGGGGCAGAATTAGCACTCAAGGCCCTGCCCCCCAACCCTGCCCCGTCATCCCCATTTACCCCAAACCTTCCCATAATGCCCCCTGCCTCACCCCCCCAATCTCCCCCTGGAGCCTCCCCACTCCACCGCCCCCCTCCCATAATCCTTTGTCTGCATCCTCCGAAGCAACCCCCCCACACACACGCTGCCCCACAGGCCCCTTCCTATAGCCTGCCCCACACGCGACCCCAGCACCTCACACCACCACGGCCCCTCCCAACTCCTATGGTGTGAGACAAGGGGTGAGAACAGCCCCCACCCCCGGCCCCAGTTTCCTGGCCCCCCACCCCACCGGAGATGTGTGGGGCAGAGACTTACCCACGAGAACCGGCTGCATCAGCAGCTGCCCGAGGAGCCCGCTGATCATCTGTGCCAGGGAGGCATTGCCCCCTACGCCGGGAGTCTGGGGGGAGACAGACGTTACCTCGGAGCCGGCACCACTCCCCACCCCCCTGAGCCAGGCAGTCCCCAGGCCCCATGGCCCCATTCCCTGCCCCCCGAGCCAGCCAGTGCCCCTAGTGGGGACAGGCCCCATGCCCCATTCGCTGGGCTCTCACCCCGGGTCCTGGCGCCTGGGGGGCCCCCGGGTGGGTGGGCCGGGTGGACGGGGCCGAGGGCCGGGCGATCACCACGCGGGTCGGGGCCGTCTGGAAGCCAGGGACCTGCTGGCCTGCAGCAGAGGAAGGAACCGGGTTACAACGAGCCGCCGGGGCCGGAACGCAGCCACCTCTGGGGCGGAGCGGCCCCCCGCTGCCCCCTGCTGGCCGCACCCACCTGTGGCGGCAGAAGCCGCGGCCGCCATGGCCTGCTGGGTGATCTGGTGAGCCACGGCCTGCATCAGCTCCGGGGGCAGGCTGGGCAGGGGGACGTGCGCAGCGCCTCCTGCAGGGGGAGGGGAACAGCCGGGTCACCAGGCGGCGTCACAGCGCAGTGCCCGCTGCTGGGGAGCCCCGCGACAGCTCCAGCCCCGCCCCCGCCCGCGCCCCACCCCCGCCCTCGCCACGCCCCCC